AAAAAAAGGGGCGGGGCCAGTGTTTCCCTTTGAGCCCCCACCCCCCCCCCCCCCCCATGTCAGCTGACCTCACATCATTCGTGTGTCTTTGTCCTCAGGTTGGGATTCCCTATGATGATCATGACCTGTGTGATTGGCATGTGTTACCTGTTGGCCACACACGTCGGCCTGGGCTGGAACATGTGACCACACCAAAAACATGTTCTCTGTGTGTGTGTGTGTGTGTGTACAGTGTGTGTGTGTACATGATCACATGACTTATGGGAGTAGCAGGCTCCGCCCACTGTTCTGACCCTGGTTCTCCAGGCACAAGTTAAAGAAGTTCTTCAAACTGGAACAGACTGGCGCCACCGTGTGGTGGATGAAGGCGTCCGTTCTTTTTGTATTGAATTGTGTTCAGATGACTTGATTAAAGGTTCATTCTGTAAGATTTCCTGTAACAGACCGAAAAACAAAAGGAATAAAATTGGTTTCAATAACATCACAGTCTGAGGTCTTGTTTCAGTGAATCAGCGCCGTCTCTGAGCAGCTGCTGCTCACAGGTGGCCATGTTGGCTCATTCGCTGAGAAAATCGTTGAGCTGAAATCACTGATTTTCTCTATGGGGTTTGGTCTGAACTAAAATCTCTGATTTTGTCCATGGGGTTTGGTGCAGTGGCGTCTCATTATCTGAGTGTGAACAGAATTCTTGTTTTTGTTCCTGTTGAAGACTTCTGCTGTGGTCCAATCCCATCTTTGCTTCTCTCTAATCCCTACTATAATCCCTGACTCTGTGGGTGGTTCTGTGTTCTCGCTGATCTGGTCTCCGCACAAGTTCCTGATCTCATCTCTTCTGCAGTCCCTGGTCAGTTCCTCGGTGCAGTGCCTCGTGGTCCACCTGGAGGGTCCTGCTTCTGAAGTGAAGATTCAGATGAACCTGTGGAGATGTTCCTCCTGGTTCTGGTCCAGGCTCAGAGCCGTGCTCTGAGCTAACTCAGTGACAGAGACCAAAGAAGATGTTGCTGTGGATGATGACGGTGTTTGGGTTCTGGAGAGCATGTGGAGAACTGCCCTTCATGTCAGAGAACACTGCCGCCCTGCTGGTCAACTGGTGAGTGAAGAATTGAACGTTCCATTAAACAGCTGTTCACTCTTGGAACCTGAAGGTGTCTTCCTCATTCGCGTTCTTTTTGGCTAACATGTAGCTGTGTAGGGCTAACATTAGCTTCTAGCAGTGTTCCTGCTTTTACTACATTTTCCTCATTAACTTCAGTGCTAATATTAAATAACAGACCTCTAACTGGTAACTAGATTAGGTAGAACTTAGTTATCTTACCTAAGCTATGACAGGAACCTGTATTTAAGATAACTTTTATTAACTAAGTTGAATCATTTTCAGCTAACTTTTGGCCATTTAACAATTACTTTAAAGACATAGTTATCTGTTAGGCAGACAAACTCTTAGCTGGGTTAGGGTTGAAAGCAATGTTAATCTATTTACACGCTAACTTTTAGCTATGGTCTTCCAGTGGACTCAACACCCGCAGGAGTGCAGTGTGTTTTGGGAGGCGACTGCTTTCCCGCGACCCGGTAACGGATAAGCGGATGAAAATGGATGGATGGACTGTTAGCTATGCTCTTTGCTATGTTGTAGTAAACATTTGTCAGTTTTGTTTTGTCCATTGTCTTTTATTAACTCAAACTGTAAATATTATCTGTGTATTTCATCATCACCTTGGCTAACCGTATAGTTTCATGATCTTATAAGTTTCAGTTGATTTTAATGATCTCCTCTTTTGGTGTTAGCATTAGCATTAGCTTCTTGTATGTTAACTTTTAACACACATGTCAAACTACACTGGTCTAATCTGTTAATCTGAGCTCAGCCAGGAGGGTTTTAGTCCCTCAGATTATCATGAAGTGTGTGTGTATGTGTGTGTGTGTGTGTGTGAGAGAGAGAGAAAGAGAGAGAGGGGATTAATGGAGGAGGTTAATGGAAGCAGAGAAACAGGAAGTCCAGTTTTGCAGCTGCTCTGATTTTCTACAGATCATAATCTGACGTCAGATTATTTTTCTCTCCTATTAAGAGTTCTACTTTGAGACTGGAGGGGGCGCTACTGCAGCTCACATGAGTATGATACTGTGTTTACCTGGATTTGAGGCTCAGTTGAAAGTGAAAACTTGAATCTACTTCACGGTACTTCATTATTTAGCCCTTTCTGCTACTTGTTGCTAACACCGATTTAGCTAACTCTAATGGCGCTGATATTTATGAAATCTCTACATCAGGTTCTGAGTTTTTGGATGATCAGTCAGGTGATCGACGTGTGCGCTACAGCCACACCCACCGTCTGTGTAGCCCCGCCCCCATACCTGCCTGGTGTGGCGCCAACATGTGGTGACGTTTGTTTGTGTTTTTTTCCTAAGGAACGCTATAGACGGGAACAAAAAACTGTTGTCAGTCTACGACACCAGGTGAGAACGTTTTTACCTTTAACATCGTTAAAACAACAAGAAAAAAAAGTTTCAACATCTGCTGGAATGGCTAGTTAAAGCTAAAGCTAAAGCTAAAGTGGCTAAAGTTAGCAACTGATTAGCTTTCATTTAGCTCAATGAAGCAAAAGTAGCTGAGAGTTACTGAATGCTACTACACTGTACTACACAGTGTAGTACAGTGTAGTACAGTGTAGTACAGTGTAGTACAGTGTACTGTATGAAGGAGGCCAACAACAACAACAACAACAACAACAACAACAACAACAACATGGTTGAAAATTAAAAAGAAACCACCACAGAATGAAGTTCTGACATCATTTCCTCCTCTTCCTCCTCCTCCTCCTGCGTCTCCTCCTCAGCATCAGTGGACCAGGGAACATGTCCTTTGTCAAAGTGACCGTGGACGGACTGCTGAAAGGCTACGACATCCGTCTGCGGCCGGACTTTGGAGGTTGGTCTCTGGTTCTGGACCAGTTGGACTCATCAGAACCAGTTCTCATGGTGCTCCAACAGAACCACCCTGGGTTTGAATAAAGAAGAACAGAATTCAGTGCAACCTTAGGTTAGGTTAATATTCCACAGGTGTTAAAGGTAGCTAGCACACGGCTAAAGGATAGCACAGTTCACTGGTGAGGTGAAACAAAGAGTCTCGAAAAAGTACTTGATGATGGTTCCAGAAAAATAACAAGAGCTTCAGTGACTGGTTGGTGCTCGTTGGTACTCACTGGTACTCACTGGTACTCACTGTGACTGGTTTTCCCGCAGGTCCACCTGTGTCTGTGGGGATGAGTGTGGACGTGGCCAGTATAGACATGGTGTCAGAGGTCAACATGGTGAGTGAAGAGTTAACACATTGACCAACCAGGTTTCACTTTGATCAGTAAATAAAGCTAAAGTTAGCATAGCTACCGCATTAGATTTGAATGTATTTAAAGACCAGTTCATTTGTGTTGTTGGTCAGACTCCCTCTGACGCTGTTGTTGTTGTTGTTGTTGTTCTGCAGGACTACACTCTGACCATGTACTTCCAACAGTACTGGAGAGATAAACGGTTATCGTACACAGGTATCCCTCTGAACTTGACCCTGGACAACAGAGTAGCAGACCACCTCTGGGTTCCTGATACTTACTTTCTGAATGACAAGAAGTCCTTCGTTCACGGAGTCACCGTCAAGAACCGAATGATCCGACTGCATCCAGATGGAACCGTTCTCTACGGTCTGAGGTAAACAAAAAGATATATATATATATATATATATGGGGTTGAGAATTATCCTGTCCATACGAAAGTCCATACAGAAAATCAGTGATTTTAGTTCACAGACGAAGGCAGACGGGTCGTAGCAATCCAGTTGAGATGTTATTTTTGAGCTCCTTTGGTCTCATGTTTTGACTCAGGATCACAACCACAGCAGCTTGCATGATGGACCTGAGGAGGTATCCTCTGGACGAGCAGAACTGCACCCTGGAAATTGAGAGCTGTGAGTCTGAACGTGTTTGTGTAGAATATAGGTGTCCGACTCTTTAGCAATTAGGCTGCACCTGCACTGTTGTCCATTTTTAGCTATTGTTCAGAGACGTTTGGCTTAGCTTTAGCTGCTTATATGCTAACTCTTGACTAGAGTCATTTTGACCGACCTGTTGTACAATCAGGGATCTTCGTCTGACTCTCAGACTTTCAGAAGTTGTGGTTCTCTAGATGCTGATGTTCAGTCTGGTCTGTCACACCTCTGTCTGTAGACGGTTACACCACAGACGACATCCAGTTTTACTGGAAGGGTGGCGACTCGGCAGTGAGTGGCATCACACGCATTGAACTTCCTCAGTTTTCCATCGTGGACTACAAGCTGGTCTCCAGGAACGTGGTTTTCTCCACCGGTGAGTCTGGACTAACAGACCGACTCTGACACTTTTTAATACGGAGGTGTTTTAAAGCTGAAGATCAACGTCTGAAATAATAATAAACAAAATAAAAAGTCTTAAAAGGTTCAGACTCTGTGACAAGAAAGAAAAGAGCGCCCCCTGCCATCCCATCTCTTGTCATTGTCCAGTGATGAATTAATACAGTTGATGATGTGGCTAAGTTGTTTACTCTGGTTCTCCTGGCTCCCCCTGCAGGAGCTTATCCTCGACTGTCTTTGAGCTTCAGACTGAAGAGGAACATCGGATACTTCATACTCCAAACTTACATGCCCTCCATCCTGATCACCATCCTGTCCTGGGTCTCCTTCTGGATCAACTACGACGCCTCAGCTGCCAGAGTGGCTTTAGGTCTGGATGGTCTTGGTTTCCTCCTCATGATGGCGCTGCTGTTTTGTCATTTTCTGGTGTTTTTCTTCAGGCATCACCACGGTGCTGACCATGACCACCATCAACACCCACCTGAGGGAAACTCTCCCTAAGATTCCCTACGTCAAGGCCATCGACATGTACCTGATGGGCTGCTTCATCTTCGTCTTCCTGGCTCTGCTGGAGTACGCCTTCGTCAACTACATTTTCTTTGGTCGCGGTCCTCGGAATCAGAAGCTGTGGGAGCGGGGTCAAAAGGTCAAGGAGGAACGCCACATCAGCCACGTAAAGTCCAAAGTAAAGTAGACTAACTTTCTCACCCTCTCTCTCTCTCTCTCTGCTGCAAATGTCTTCCTGTTAAACAGGAGTTTTTTTTCCTCTCTCCGTTGCAGATTTTGCTTTTATTTTTTTTTTTTGATTGAGGATTTTTAGAATTGAATTAGTTTTAGTCAAATTTAACTTTTAAATCAAGGAGATTTTTAGAACATTTGGAAAAAAGAAAGAATTTCATGAATTTCTAGCTGCTTTTTTTTTTGAAACAGCGCCACCTGTCTGTGTTTTTCTGTTCAGGTTGACTCCAAGGGGAACATCCTGCTGACCACTTTAGAGATTCACAACGAGGTCGGAGGTCATGAGATCAGGACGAGCCTCAGTGAGACCCAGTTCCCCTCGTCCATGAACCTGGACGCCGATGGTTTGCAGTACAGGAAGTCCAGTTTGGCCCAGGACACAGGTCGACTCAGTCTGGACCAGAACACCGATCCCAGACAGAACTCCCTGAGAAGACCGTCTTCACAGCTCCGCTTTAAAATCCCAGAGCTGACCAACGTGAACACTGTGGACAGGTGCTCCCGGGTCATTTTCCCATCGACCTTCTGCCTCTTCAATCTCATCTACTGGCTTTACTACGTCAACTGATTATAATCCATTCTACTGTATGTAGTCATTAATTCATCAATTGATCCAGATTATAATCGTTCATCCACTGTTTTTCCTTCATCAATAAATCCAAATTATAAATGCCCATCTTTATTATAATAATGAATGGATTTGACACCAACACCAGTTTAGTTCTGGATAATCCTAATCCTCTTGTTACCTCGTTGAGAACTCAAACTTCACATCCTTCAATGTCTGGACGAATGCCTGTCAACTGATGGCTGAATGTTTCTTATGTCATGTGTTGAACTGCTTGTTGTGTTCACTCTAAATGTTATCACTGTTTAATCTAAATTCTTCTTCTGGACTCCATCTTCTGAACGCCATCATCATACATTAAAGGGTAGTATTAATCAGAATAAGAAAACATTTGTCTCTGTGCATTAAAATCACTGATTTTCTCTATGGCCTTTGGTCTGAGCTAAAATCACTGATTTTCTCCATGGACTTTGGTCGAAACAAAAATCTCTGATTTTCTCTATGGACTTTGGTCTGAACTAAAATTTCTGATTTTCTCCATGGACTTTGGTCGAAACAAAAATCTCTGATTTTCTCCATGGACTTTGGTCGAAACAAAAATCTCTGATTTTCTCCATGGACTTTGGTCGAAACAAAAATCTCTGATTTTCTCCATGGACTTTGGTCGAAACAAAAATCTCTGATTTTCTCCATGGACTTTGGTCTGAACTAAAATCTCTGATTTTCTCCATGGACTTTGGTCTGAACTAAAATCTCTGATTTTCTCCATGGACTTTGGTCTGAACTAAAATCTCTGATTTTCTCCATGGACTTTGGTCTGAACTAAAATCTCTGATTTTCTCCATGGACTTTGGTCTGAACTAAAATCTCTGATTTTCTCCATGGACTTTGGTCTGAACTAAAATCTCTGATTTTCTCCATGGACTTTGGTCTGAACTAAAATCTCTGATTTTCTCCATGCTAAAATCCTCCATGGACTTTGGTCTGAACTAAAATCACTGATTTTCTCCATGGACTTTGGTCTGAACTAAAATCAATGATTTTCTTTATGGACTTTGGTCTGAGCTAAAATCACTGATTTTCTCCATGGACTTTGGTCTGAACTAAAATCAATGATTTTCTTTATGGACTTTGGTCTGAGCTAAAATCACTGATTTTCTCCATGGACTTTGGTCTGAACTAAAATCACTGATCACGATGGTAATGATGATGATGATGGTTTAGGTTCCTTCTGTTATGTTCTTCACTTCACTCTGTGTTTACTTTGAACTGTGTCTTGGTAAAAACTTTCCTTCTCCCCCTGTTTGTTACCGCGTGGCACTTTGAGAGAAAAAAACACGGGTTTGAAGAAATGGGCGTGATTTGCGGTACATTTCGGTGGGCGTGGGCGGGGCGTGGAGTTGTTTACGGACAACCCCGTTCCAAGAATCGCGCACGCGCTTGACTGATTTCCACACGGCAGAGCAGCGCGTTCACAACGGAAATTGTTCGTCCACAGAGTTTACAGATCAGCAGGAGCCTGCCGCCGCCAGCGTCAGCCCCCACTTCACCTCCCACAGGAAAAAGAGAAAAGAGGAGAAAGGAGTAAAGTTGGAAAGTGGAGGAGGAGGCAGAAAGATGGAGGAAGAGCAGCGGGGACTGAAAGTATACCCCAGCCACAACATAATGACATGAGCGCGGCTCTGTCTGCGCGGACACGGAGAGTCAAAGAGCGGGGAAAAGTTTGAGAAGGAGGCGGTCGAGAAGGAGGAGACATGGCCGCCGAAGTTCCGAGAAAAAAGAAGAAAAGGAAGGGCAGGGAAAACAAAAAAACAAGAACCGTTCTCCCGAACACCCTGTCTGAACCGAACCAACGTTACGCCAACAACCAGATCAAAACCACCAAGTACACGCTGCTGTCCTTCCTCCCCAAGAACCTGTTCGAACAGTTCCACAGGTTCGCCAACGTCTACTTCGTTTTCATCGCGCTGCTCAACTTCGTGCCCGCGCTGAACGCCTTCCAGCCCGAACTGGCTCTAGCTCCGGTTCTCTTCATCTTGTCCGTCACCGCCATCAAGGACCTGTGGGAGGACTTCCGGAGACACCGCTCCGACACCGAGATCAACCACCTGGACTGCCTGGTCTACTGCAGGTACTGTACTTGGCCTGTCCAGCAGGGGCGCCGTCGGTCGCTCTGCTGGTCCGAGGTGAAAAGGATGGGGGGCACGGGGAGGAGGGACTTTTTCCAAAAAAAAATGTTTCCAAAATTTCCGAAATTCCCAGGCTTTCAGAGCTCGCGTGGATTTTCTGATACTCCACTGTGTTTTTCGCGTGTTTACACTCATTGACCGGGCTGCGCCATCTTAAATCTCTCCAGCTTCTTAGGAAAAACTTGGTAAATTGTACGGATCTTCAGGTAAATGATACTCAGGTGTCAGACTTTGACAACTTTGTTTTTAAACCAAAACTAAACTTTTTCAACAACAGAAGATCAGAACAGGAACTTTTTTAATTCTTAAGGAATAAAAACTTCAAACTCCACTGGTAGAAGACTCAACTTCTCCAGGTCCAGACACCTGGTCCAGATCTTCATGGTAAAGATGTTGCTCTGGTGATGTCACCACGTCAACGGTAGATTTCTACCCAGTCACTAATTAATAATTACCCACAACGCATTTGGTTCTTCATCAGCTCGTGGGGACGTGAGACGTCACTTGATACAGTGATTTCATGCTAACGTTGATAAGTTAGCTTTGGTGTTTGTGTGTGTGTGTGTGTGTCTTTCATAATGAGACCGTTCTTCTGTGATGGAACTGATGCAACTAGGCAACAATGATGAGTTAACACTAACCCAAGTCAACCGGACCAACCCTTTAAGTCAACCATAGCCACTTAGCAACAGGACTAAAACATGTTAGCCACAAACAGCTAAAGGTTGGTCAGTTCCCCTGATTCCACTGTGATTCAACACAAGGCCGACCTGTCACTCAACTACAACTGAGTCCTGACTCAGCTGTGACTTAGTTAGGTTCTTGTCATGGTAGTTTTTAACCAGCAGGGGTCTGGAGAACTTAACAAAGTAGTTCACAGGTTTAGCTAATTCTCTGGTTCTGGTTCTGATGCTCCGGCTTCTGTTGAAGATCAGTTGAAAAATGTTTTTCTGTCAAACGTCACAGACAGAAAACAGATGATCAGCTGATGTTCAGAGCAGAGGATTGTGGGAGTTGGTGCCAACAGATGCAGATGTGTTCGGATTGAAACTCCTCCACTTTTCTGATCCTCTTGGCAGGGAGCACAGACGATATGTGGAGAGGTTCTGGAAGGAGGTGCTGGTGGGCGACTTCATCAGGCTCCGGTGTAATGAAGTGGTCCCTGCTGATGTCCTGCTGCTCAGCTCCAGTGACCCGGACCGTCTGTGTCACATTGAAACAGCCACGCTGGACGGAGAGACCAACCTGAAACAGAGGCAGGTGGTGCGCAGCTTCTACGACCTGGTGAGGAGGAGGCTTCCTGTCACTTCCTGTCTACACACATAAACACGCATAGAGGAAATGTGAGGCTCTGATTCTCACAGTCAATGTGGAAAGAAACCAGGACACTGGAGAAAATCAGAGATTTTAGTTCAGACCCAAGTCCATGCAGAAAATCAGAGATTTTAGTTCAGACCAAAGTCAATGGAGAAAATCAGAGATTTTAGTTCAGACCCAAGTCCATGCAGAAAATCAGAGATTTTAGTTCAGACCAAAGTCCATGGAGAAGATCTGAGATTTTAGTTCAGACCAAAGTCCATGGAGAAAATCTGAGATTTTAGTTCAGTTAGTTCAGAGCTTACAGACCTCAGTGTCTCCAGTTTCAGTTAGTACAACAAATATAAAAATGTGTGAACAAAGGTTTATGTTCGGCTCATTGTGTTTGTAGTGAATGTCATCACACAAACACTCGTGTGTGTTTCCTGTTTCCAGGACTGTGATTTTGACCCCTTGAAATACAACAGTGTGATTGAATGTGAGAAACCCAACAATGATCTGAACCGGTTCAGGGGATACATGTGAGTCTTCATCTGCATTTTGTTCTGCTCACCTGTGTATGTGACACACAGATACATCGACATAGTAAAAAAAAATGTGAGCAATGTCCCTTTAATATCCTGACAGCATCCATAGCAACAGCAGAAGAGACGCTCTGTATAAAGTGAACCTACTGCTGAGAGGCTGCACCGTCAGAAACACTGAAGAGGCCGTAGGCATCGTTATCTACGCAGGTGAGAGCCTGGACCACTGACCACTGTTACTGACCACTGTTACTGATCACTGTTACTGACATGGACCACTGTTACTGACGCTGTGACCAGTGTTACTGACACTGACCACTGTTACTGATCACTGTTACTGACCACTGTTACTGATCACTGTTACTGACCACTGTTACTGATCACTGTTACTGACACTGACCACTGTTACTGATCACTGTTACTGACCACTGTTACTGATCACTGTTACTGACATGGACCACTGTTACTGACGCTGTGACCAGTGTTACTGACACTGACCACTGTTACTGACGCTGTGACCAGTGTTACTGACACTGACCACTGTTACTGATCACTGTTACTGACCACTGTTACTGACGCTGTGACCACTGTTACAGACCACTGTTACTGATCACTGTTACTGACATGGACCACTGTTACTGACGCTGTGACCACTGTTACAGACCACTGTTACTGATCACTGTTACTGACATGGACCACTGTTACTGACGCTGTGACCACTGTTACAGACCACTGTTACTGATCACTGTTACTGACCACTGTTACTGATCACTGTTACTGACCACTGTTACTGACACTGTTACTGTTACTGATGCTGTTACAGCTACTGACCATGAAGTGACTGTTACTGTAATCACAGACAGACAGAAGTACTGTGTGTGTGTGTGTGTGTGTGTGTGTGTAGGTCATGAGACCAAAGCCATGCTGAACAACAACGGTCCTCGGTACAAACGCAGTAAACTGGAGCGACAGATGAACCTGGACGTCTTCTGGTGTGTCGTCATCCTGCTGGTCATGTGTGTGTTTGCTGCTGTTGGTGTGTAACTAAACTCACTCTTTGAAGGCAGCTCAATCTCCTGGCTTTGAACTCACACCGACGTTGATCTGGTTCTGGTTCTTGTGCTGCTCCAGGTCACGGCCTGTGGATGTTCCAGTACCGGGGTCAAAGACCAGTTTTTGAAGTCCTGAGTCCAGATGGTTCGGACTTGTCTCCGATCACCTCATCTCTTTATCTCTTCCTCACCATGATCATCGTCTTCCAGGTACGTTCTAACCTTTGACCCAATGTGGTCTCGGTCACAGCGACCGCCGTGTGACTACCTTTTAGTCTGAACTGAAAAAGAGAACTGAATGTCTCTCTACCCCCTCCTTCCACCCTTCCTCCCCCCCAACTCCCAGGTGCTGATCCCCATCTCCCTCTACGTGTCCCTGGAGATCGTCAAGGTGTGTCAGGTCTTCTTCATCCACCAGGACATGGACCTGTACGACGAGGACCTGGACTCCCGGCTGCAGTGCAGAGCCCTGAACATCACTGAAGACCTGGGACAGATGCAGTTCATCTTCTCTGACAAGACGGGAACTCTGACCGAGAACAAGATGGTGTTCCGCCGCTGCACTGTGGCTGGAGTGGAGTATTCACATGACGCTAACGGTCAGTGGAGTCACACACACACACACACACACACTGGCTTTTTATCTGTGCATAGTGGTGATGTAGCTTGTCAACTGGCTACTCCTTTTAGCTTAAAGTTAGCATTATCCATTGCTTAGCTTTGTTAAAGCTATCTGTTTATTTAAGACTAGTGCACATCAAAGCTAACTTTCACCAATCAATCAATTTATCTGAACTTTATTATACTATATTTATACAGGTATGTGCTACAGTGTTGCAAAGTTTTGGCTAACGCTTCCTTTTAGCTAAAATGTTAGCCAGTAAAGTACTGGCTATTACTATGACTAATGTAAGTAAACAACAGGCGTCTGGAAGTCGTCCAGCCGCCTGGTACCGACTGTACGACTGTAGGATCATTTGTCTTTTCGGGATAATGTAGTAATTCAGTGATAAGACGTTTGGCTAACGTTTGTCCTCAGTGGTATGTTGCTAGCTAAGTTTTAGCTGGTGTTTTGATTGTGTTTAGCCAGGAGACTGGCCATGTATCAGGAGATAGACTCAGAAGAAGAAGAGTGCACATCCCGCGGTGGAACTTTACCCAGACGTGACAGTATAGGCAGTCACCACAGCGCCCCCATGCACCACAGCGCCCCTGTAGTACTGCGCTCCCACAGCACCAAGTCCCACCGCAGGACAGGCAGCCGGGCCGAGGCTAAAAGAGCCAGTATCCTGTCCAAGCACACGGCCTTCAGCAGCCCCATGGTCAGTACCAACTACACTCACACTGGTACTGTGGCCTGTTGTCTGATTGGTTCTGTTCTTATACATCTGTGCTGACATCTGATGACTCATTCATGTGACCAAGCTGACCAATGACAGATGGTTTCTGATCAGATGACGTGTGTTTTCATTAGGAGAAGGATGTGACCCCTGACCCTCAGCTCTTGGAGAAGGTCAATGACTGTGGAGCCCAACTGGACTTCCTGCGCCTCCACGGCCGACCCTGGTCCCAGCTGCCTTCAGACCTGGCCGACATCATGGATTTCTTCATCGCCCTCACGATCTGTAACACAGTGGTGGTATCATCACCTGACCAGCCGCGACACAAGGTGAGGCCCACAGACTGACAGAGTGTGTGTGTGTGTGTGTGTGACATTCTCTTGAACTTGTTTTTGAATTTGCCCGTGTCATATTTTGTTCCTGGTCTGGCTCTGGTTCTGGTCCAGGTCCGTCTGAGGTTGGAGTTGAAGTCTCCAGTGAAGACCATCGAGGACTTTATCAAACGCTTCACCCCCAGTCGTCTCACCTCTGGCTCCAACAGCAGCAGCTCCTCCAGCCTGGCCACCAACCGCTCCTCCGCCAGGGGGTGCTCCAGCATCCTGTCGTCTCCGTCGGCAGAGAGCACACTTACCAAGCTGGAGGAGGAGCAGCAGCAGAGTCTAAACCACGCCTTCAGCTCCACGCCGCCCTCTTATGACAGAAAGCTGTGGCAGGAAGGAGCAAAGCTGCGTTACGAGGCAGAGTCTCCGGATGAGGCCGCGTTGGTCTACGCCGCTCGGGCGTACAAGTGCTCCCTGGTAGGCCGTCTTCCTGATCAGGTGACCGTGGAGCTGCCACAGCTGGGAAAACTGAGTTTCGAGCTGCTGCACACACTGGGCTTTGACTCTACCAGGAAACGCATGTCTGTGGTTGTTCGACACCCGCTGACCGACGAGATCACAGTTTATACTAAAGGAGCAGATTCTGTGATCATGGACCTGATCAGAACTGAAGACACGGGTGAGAAAAGACTCTCAGATACAGAACACTGAGCAGGGTCAATCCTGAAGGTTAGCCCAGTGATTTTAGTTCAGACCAAAGTCCATAGAGAAAATCAGTGATTTTAGCTAAAACTTAGCCAAAAATTAGCACAGAAGTAAGAAAAAGAAAAGTAAATAAAAAATACACAAATCAGAAGAATTGGCCTCAGAGAAACTAAAAAAGGTGTTTTTATTATTTCTTTTTTTTTTCTTTGTTTATTTTTAAGGAACGTCCACAGGCAAACGTCGAAAGAAGATTCTCTTCAGGACGCAGAACTTCCTGAACCTTTATGCTGCTGATGGACTCAGGACTCTGTGCATTGCTAAAAAGGTAAACACCATGAGTTTTACCTTAGGGTTACCTTGAAGCTACGAAAAGTCAGGAATAAAAGGAATAAAAATGTACAACATTAGACAAAAGTGAAGTGACCCTTAGTTTCTGAAAAATAAATAATAATTAAATGTTAGCTGAAAAGATGTTATCCATGGTCACAAACCCTTTTTTTGTTTACCAGACTTTAAACAAAGAGGAGTACACGTACTGGCTTCAGCGCCACCTGGAGGCGGAGACATCTATTCAGGGCAGAGAGGAGCTGTTGTTTGAGTCTGCACTGCGTCTGGAGACAAACCTGCAGCTTTTGGGTGAATTTCACTTTTGTCCTTCTGTTGATGATGTCATGAGAGGACACTTTAATAAGCTGTCTGTTCATTTTGCCTTTAGCCCTAATCCACAAAGCAACGTTAGCTTAAGTCGAAACGTTTAGAAACTGTTCAAGCTTTTATCTCACTTATAGATATAGATACTTTCAACTCAAAACAGCTCACTCTGGTACATCAAACCTCTTAGAGAAAATCAGTGATTTTAGCTTATAGATCTTTTAGCACTAAGACATTTGGGCTTGTAGTAGGGATGTTTCTAATAGGAGGTCTTTGAACGACAATCTCAATAGAGACAATGGAGAACTAGCACTAGAACTTTATTCACAAAACTGTTGGTGTAACAGTGCTATGTACCTGTAGGGGCGACGGGGATAGAGGACCGTCTGCAGGATGGTGTTCCTGAAACCATAGCTTGTCTTCGTCAGGCTGGTCTCCAGATCTGGGTTCTGACAGGAGACAAACAGGAAACGGCAGTGAACATCGCCTACGCCTGCAAACTGTTGGAGCCTGAGGAGGAGATCCTGACCCTGAACGCTAACTCTCAGGTGAGAGGCGGTTGATAGAGTCACCAACGAAAAGTCTTTCTGTGTATGTGTATATATGTATATACTGTATGTATGTGTGTGTATATATATATATATATGTAAATAACCCATTTACCCATCACCAAAGTGAACAGTGGGCAGTTTTTATTTCTGGAGCACCGGGGGGGGGCAGAGTGCGAGGACGGTGCCATGCCTGGTGGATCTGGTGGATTCGAACCTGCAACCTTCCGGACCCAAGTCCGCTTCCTTAACCACAAACCACCACTGCCTTCAATATATATATACGTATATATATATACGTGTATATATATATACATATATGTGTGTGCCTGCCACAGCCGTTCTCCAGGAGAGCTGTGCTCTGTTACTAGAGGAGAGTCTTCACTACATCCAGACCAAGTTCCTCAGCAGCTCTTCGCCGTTCTTTCAGCCACCTTCCTCCTCCTCCTCCTCCTGCCACAGCCTTCCTTTCATGGTCCACCGTCTGGGTCTGGTCATCGATGGTAGGACACTGGCCTATGCTCTGGACCGCAGTTTGGAGGATACGTTTCTGGCTGTGGCCCGGAGCTGCAGATCGGTTCTGTGCTGTCGCTCCACCCCGCTGCAGAAGAGCATGGTGGTCAAACTGGTGCGCAACAAGCTGAAGGTCATGACTCTAGCAATAGGTGAGATTCAAAGGTCACGCCGGTCGTGGTCATTGTCCCCCGGGAGAAACGGGGGTGAGGAAAAACTCCCTTATAGATTTGCTTGATTGGATCTAGGACGGTCCAACAGCCCCCAGGGGGAGCCCTCTGCCAGGGCTGGCTCTGTCATATCCTGTAGACTCCGCCCCACTTCCCTTGATTTCATATCTGTTATAATATGACCTTTGACATTAGTCCCAGTGTCAATGTTAACAATTGTGTCTCGTGTCAGGTGACGGAGCCAACGACGTGAGTATGATTCAGGTTGCTGACGTTGGCGTGGGAATCTCGGGTCAGGAGGGCATGCAGGTGAGAGGGTGGTGGGTGTGGCCTAACTGTTGATGTTTGTTGGTTTACAGCAAAGCAGCTTTTTAAACTGACTGTACTCGACCAGTTAGCTTGACCAAACAATATGTGTTTCAGGCAGTGATGGCCAGTGACTTCGCTCTGCCACGGTTCCGTTACCTCCAGAAGCTTCTGCTGGTCCATGGACACTGGTGCTATTCTCGACTGGCCAACATGATCCTCTACTTCTTCTACAAAAACGCTGTGAGCATCACTTGTGGAGTAAACGGTAGCATTAGCATCAGCATTAGCAGCATTGCTAACTAGGTTAGCATCACTGTTTCACTTTGATACAGTACTAACCTCTCACTAACTGTGAGCTGGAACTAGTTCTTCATTGAAAGTAGCATCACTGTGAAGAAGAAACCAAAGAGTTGGTCAAAACTGGGGATCCCTCCCCCCTCACAGTCATGGTTCTGTGGTTCCTGCAGATGTTTGTGGCACTGATCTTCTGGTATCAGTTCTACTGTGGCTTCTCTGGTTCAGCCATGATCGATCAGTGGTATCTGATCTTCTTCAACCTGATGTTCTCCGCTTTCCCTCAACTGGTCACAGGGACTTTGGACAAAGACGTGTCCTCAGAGACCCTGCAGAGACTACCTCAGCTCTACAGGAGTGGACAGAACTCTGAGGTCAGTCCAACTGTGATGTCACAGAGGAACCCATTAGACCTCAGGGATGGAGCAGCAGCTGCTGAGTCTAAAATCTCTGCTTTTCTTCATGAGGTTTGGTGGAGGAGGAGGAGGAGGCAGTGGAGTCTGTAGATCAGTAGACCATTATGACCCCCGTCCCCCTCCCCCTCCCCCGTCCCCTCCTTCTGTCTTTCAGGGGTATAAGCCGTACATGTTCTGGATGAACATGCTGGACGCCTTCTACCAGAGTCTGGTCTGCTTCTTCATCCCCTACTTTGTGAGTCTTCTTTCTGTTTCACCTCCTCCTCCTCCCCCCCTCCCCCCTCCCTCTGTGAGCTGCTCTGACTCCTCCTCCTCCTCCTCCTCCTCTTCCTCTTCAGGCCTATGCTGACTCAGACGTGGACCTGTTCACCTGGGGGACTCCCATCACCACCTTGGCCTTACTCACCATTCTGCTGCATCTGGGGGTGGAGACCAAGACCTGGGTACAGACCAGCTGATGGTCCAAGTGTGTGTGTGTGCGCGTGTGTGAGTGTGTGTGTGTGTGCGCGCGCATGCACAAGTTGGCCTACAGACTGTGTCAGACAATGACACCTGACCTTAGTCCTGACCTTTACTGTCAGAGGTCAGACCTCTTGTCTCACAGTTTGGCACCAACTCCAGTTTGAAATAATGATGTCCCCTCCCCCCCACCCCTCCTCCCCATCTTCTCACTGTCCTCCCCCTGGTTCCCCTCCTCCTCCTCCTCCTCCAGACCTGGATGAACTGGTTCTCCATCATCTTCAGCATCTTCTTGTTCTTCAGTGTTGCTCTGTGCTATAGCGCCACCTGTCCCACGTGTTCCTCTCCCTCTAATCCATACTGGACCATGCACCGCCTCCTGTCTGAGCCGCTCTTCTACCTGCTCTGCCTCATCACACCAGTGGTGGCGCTGCTGCCTCGGTACACACGCACACACACACACACACAGATTAATTTGTCAGCCCTGGTGGTCAGGGTTGGTCTACACTGACTGTTGTCGTACGTCTGTTAAGGGTCACTTCCTGTTTTTAGCTATTTTTACAGGGCCTGCCAGGGGGCGCTGTTTGCCAGTCCGGTCCACATTGGACGACAGTTGGACCAA